AAGAGCTGTGAGATGCTCACTGTTAGAATGGTCATAAGTGACAGCCTATGAGTAGTCGAAACTGCTTCTGCTATCTTACTGATTTAATGGATGTGGAAACACGCAGCTGTCCAAGGTTGGTCCGGTCAGCTAAGACATGCCTATGCAGCTAATGATCTGCAGCCACCCCGATGAAGGCCTTGTCCCAGTCAATTACTATTGTCAACGCTACGTTTATCACCGCTGAGATAATTAAGGTTTGGCTAACCTGAAAATAGGAAGTACCAATAGTTGACCCAAGGCCTTTGAGAAAGCGGCTAAGGACTCTGACAAGCGACACGTCGTCTGCGTACGCCACATGCAGGTTGGTTCTGTCCTACTGGAAGACATATGCTTGGCATCATCCCAACTACATTAGTCTGTCTTTTATAAAATCAGGCTGCGAGGAAACTTCAACCATTGGTCAGGACCATCATGTTAACAGAGAAAAGAGATATCTCGTCACCCGGAGTCTTGTTTTAACTGGCTACAGCAGCCCTCGAAGACAAGATAAGATACACATTTTTCAGCTTGCAGATCAGGCTCTGGCATATCACCAATCGCATCCCCTTTGCTTCAACCACATACTGCGGTATACCTCCGAGTGATATTCTCATTGGCTCTTCAAGGCACTGAGTGTGTTCTTCTGCTTGTGAATCTCATGCACGTTTGTAATTTCCGGTAACGCCACCAATATCTATTTATGGATGAAGCCCAAAAGAAGAGCCTGAAAATGAGAGCCGCCTCTGTTTCCTGCTATCAGTGCCTTTCTCCTGATCTCTCGCTTTCTGACTCTGTTCCAGCTCTCCCCGCAGCCTCAAAACTGCTCTCTTGATACTTCTGTAAACGTATACTTTGCGAACTAAACTCAGCGGCAATAAAAGTCTACCAGTAACTTTACTCATCAGTGATTAGATGGCTGACGTCTATTACGCGTTGAATGGCGGTGGCTTGACAGGCTCCCCTCCCGACCCCGCAATCACCGAGCCACCAGAACCTTACGACAGAGACATTCTCAAGCGTCAGAATGTAGGCACTTATGATGTTTGTGGGTACTATTCTATCCCAGGGCAGTGTAAGTACTCAAATCTCTTCAAAAAAGCAAGCCCAGCTAATTATGAGACTGAAGTTTGGGTCGTGAACTACTGCTATTACTCTGGCGTGTCAACGACGACCTGTGCAACCAGCAGTAGTCACATTGGGTGTGATGGATACATCAAGACAAGATGCTTTACCTCATTGACTTGCACTTCGACGTCATCGGATGAGCTATGCTGGTGGGTGAATAACACTAGATTTGTCGTGTCCTTATCAACTAACGCTTAAGCAGCGCTTCGGGATGTGTCACGGCGATTTCGACTGACAGTGACGGTGACGAACTCACCCTCTACCCGTTTTGTACGACGAAAGATATGGAAGTGACCATGTACCAGAATCTGGAGGGCGTCACGGCTAGCATTGAGACGTCGATAGAGTCTACTTCCACGCCGACGAGCTCAGACGGCGAGTTGACCGCAAAGACAGGAACGACAGGAGAGGAAAAGACCCAAGAAATCACCTCATCTGCCGAATCGAGTTCGTCATCTGGTCCAGATTCCTCTTCAAAGTCTTCTGCCCCCGTAGGAGCCATTGTCGGCGGTGTTCTTGGGGGGCTTGCCTTACTCGCCTTGATTGGCTTTGGTCTCTGGTTCATACGCCACAAAAAGCGTCAAGCAGGTAATGGACCACATGTGGTTGCAGCGACTGATCAACCGCCAGTCGTCCCCTATTACCAGCAGCAGCCTGTCACTCACGCCCAAGGCGAGGTGAACTATCAGCCTCTGTCATCGGGTATCTCTCCTGAGCCAAAGGCGTACTCGCCTTCTTCTAACATGCGGCATTCAGCCTTCAATGAACTTCAATCTTTCCATCATGATGACACAAATCCAGCTGGGTATCGCTGAGATACGGAATAAATGGTAGTGGAAGTGCACAGATACTCAGTATGATATGATGGGATCTTGGTTAGCGAAACGGGAGGCGAGGCTGGCGGAACGCAAATGACACATGGGTTCAGCGGGACAATATACAAGGACCTGTATAAAAAGTAGAATCTATAACATGACGCACGTTAGTACTAATCATGAGTTAGTTTTGCTCCAAGAAATGAGTCTATTCTCCATTGAATTTGAGGTCATGCTTTCAATATCTGCCAAAACGTTACAAGATCTGATCATCTGGCTGGATTTAAAAAATATGACAAGATATTTCTCCTGCCCCGAACTTCATATAATCATGCCATTGACTTTGAAATTTGATTCCCAGGCCTCAAAGTAATTGCTCCTATGGAAAGAACTATAAAGGTTTGTGATGCACATGAAGGTGGCTGCTGGCTTAACCTTGAACGAGATCTGCCCGAATATCCACACAAGTCGATAACTCGGTTGTACGACTTGTGACCAAGTTCTGAGTCGTGTTCGTCAGTCGTAGCGACAGCTCTCAACTATAAATAGGACATGGGTTCCATACTTTACCAATGACACTGCATAGTTTGGCCATTCTCCTAATACAAATGCTGTTATGAAACTTAGATTATGAGTTTTGGGTTTTCATCTCCTCAAGGAATACAAGATGAATCCAATTCCTCAGCCACAATAATTCCGCTAAAAATTGAGTTATCGAACTTGAAGTTCGGATTTGTCACGACTGGAGATTGTACTGATTGCAATGCGTCTCATTTTTATCCTTGCTGTTCTGCAGGGTGCTGTCCTCGCCCAGAAGGCTCAAACGCATACCAAAGAATTCTGCGAAACGAGAATGAGCAGAACCCCGGTTTCTGATACACCCAGAGTCACCATTAGCACGAAGGTCAAATTGACCGCGAGCAAACCATACTGCAATCGGAAAAATAAGCATGAAACCTTCAAGATAAAGCTAAGTCCTGTCACTAGCACCGTTGTTACCAGGTCTATCTATACCAGTTCAATTACCGCTCCTCAAAAGGTCAAGACACTCACCATCACAAAGACCCGTGAGTAAGATGTGGTCATTATCTTTGTATCTCATCCTGACGGCCCGCAGTCACCGAAACGGCCGTGACCACTCCCACTTTCATCAAAACTGACACGACAGTTTATACCACCACGTCAACTCTTACGTCAACTGTTACAGTCCCAACGGTCTCTGGATTTGTCCCTCTTGCATTGGAATCAGGGTTTGCTTCCCGAAAACGAAGCCAGTCCAAGCGAATCTTGCCTAGGAAGAATGCTTGGGATGACATTACACATGTTCCCCCCTCAAGAGTCTTTCCTCGCAAAGCCAATTCCAAGCCCGAATCCAAACCCAAGTACCTAAAGGACCCATGTACCATTCGAATCGAATCCGGTGATAAAAATCATCCCGTCCATCCAACTCAAACCCGCGGCGCGGTTGCGTGTTATAAATCTGTGCAGATTACCAAGACGGTGCTTTTCAAAAGTTGTATAGCGTGGACAAAAACGATTACACTTGATCAAAAAACTGTTACAAAGCATGATACCACTAGAGGATGGGTCACGACTACAATCACCGAAGCTGATACCACAATGACCGCGGACGATACTGCAACGACAACCTCGACACTCACTAAAGCAACTACAACGAAAACCACGACAGAAACCGAAACTGGTACGTCTCAGGCTCGTGGTTTTGTGACCAGAGACCATCTACTAATCACCATCACCGTCTAGTGACTCGAACAGATCTCGCCCCAGCCGAAAGCTCCTGGGCTGCTTGCAACGCTGATAATCTCATCAATGCGGCAAACGGCGGTCATGGGATCAGTGCAGTGAATATTGGAATGAACAGGTACAATGTTCTCCCACTAGTCACTCCTTATGACTGTTGTGTTGAGTGTCAAAAGAGGCCAAATTGCATCTTTTCCGTTGCGTATCATCACAAGTGCTATCTTGTCATTGGTACAGCCTGCCTTCCAGACCATACGTTTGACACAAGCTTTACCACATCAAAAAAACTGCACCCTGAGAATGGACCTACGCTGAGTAATGGCCACTGTGGCCGCATCCGGAACGCTGGGGATGTTGGGTGAGCTGTTCAAGATATCTATTGCTTGAAAGGAACATGGTGCCATTAGAATGGATATCCGTGCATGGCCAAGTCCCGTGAACATGATAAAGGAACCGGGTGTCATGAGTGCCTCGGATGGACGGAATGTCGGGCTATCGGGATATCTGTAACAAGAGTAGTAAGGAGACTATTATCAACATCTTTCTGCCGTATCGAATCTTCGCCGGCGGCCAAGTCCGAGCGTGTTCTCCCAAAATACTGATATTCGTAAAAAATCATTATCACAATTTCCACGGGACTTCGGCACGTAGTCCCCACCAGCCGGCTACTAACCGGCCGTAACCTCTCTATTCGCCTCCGTTGGACTAAACTGTACTTGGAAAGACCAGGCGACATCTACCGAGTCATCAAGTAAGAGTCTCAGACTTGATAACAAGGGCGGTTCTAAAATGAGAATGAACCACGTCCTCGGCTCTGACAAGGTTCGCCTAATCTTTGCGCGCGCTCCAGGTTCCCCAGAAACCCCGGAAGCTAGAGATAAGACGAGTGGGAAGGGGGAGATATGATTGAGAAATTGCGATTTCCGATTGTCATATAGTTTGACTAAAGATTGGAGGTGCCACGCGACAACGGAGGTCGTGCCGCGCCCTATCCTGGTGGTGCAGATCAAGACTAGGCTATGGGAGCGTGTTTATTCTTAAGAATGCGACTGCACCCATGCGATATCGCCTCCTCTCACTCTGGCAACGTCTTCCAATCCCCCGTCTTCTTTCCCCAGACTCCTTACTTTTCGTGGCCGCCAGATATTGACGGCGTCACTGACAGTAGCGAATGACCACCAAAAGCCCCCAGCAATACACAAACATCCTTCTAAAACAGGAGCACCGGACCTTCATTCTCGCGTCCCGCCTTGATCTTCGAGCCTGAACACCGACGAAATGACCGAGAAACACGATATTCCCGACAATGCGTCCTTGACGCCCTCCCAAGCTGCTGGCAAGACATTCGCCACCCATAACCTCCACGGCGGTGAACAGCTTGAGAAGCGATACAGTCCTCTTTCTGTCCTCGCTTTTGCCTTTACCACCACCAATTCTTGGATGGCCTTTGCATCAGGCATTGCCATACCGCTTGCTTGTGGTGGAGGACCCTCGATCATCTATGGCTTGATCGCTGGTGGCGTCATCATGGCCACCATCAACATTGGTTTCGCTGAATTGGCTTCAGCGTTTCCTTCGGCTGGTGGACAGTATCACATCGTCTTCATGGCCTTTCCCGCGTCTACACGACGCGTTGCTGCTTTTTATACTGGTTGGATCTCCATTATCTACCTGATGGCTGCGACAGCATCTTGCAACTTTTTCGCTGCCAGTTCTGTTCTAGATCTTGTCCAACTGTGGCACCCATCATATAACATCCAGGCTTGGCATACGTATTTGATGCATATCCTACTGTGTATTATTGCCTTTGCCGCCACTTCCCGGTTCCCTGCTGCCATCGGCCGCTTGACTACTACCATCTTCTGGCTGTCCTTAGTTGGTTTCATCGCTTCTATGGTCACTCTTCTTGCTGTTAGTGATCACAAGCAGTCATCTTCTACTGTCTTCAAGGAGTACAAGAACGTCAGTGGATGGGGAGATGGCTGGGCAATGATCACCTCTATCACTGCCTGCTTATGGGCCTACAGTGGCGTTGATGGTCCTACCCATTTGGCAGAAGAGGTGCCAAACCCAAGTAAGAATGTTCCTCGGGCTATTTTCTTGACCATTGGCCTCGGTATCTCCACTGTCGTTGCCTGGACTATCGCCCTTATGTTCTCCATCAAGGATGTCGATGCCATCATTGAGTCGACAGTACCTATTCTCGAGGTCTACAACCAAGCTCTCAACAACAGAGTTGCCACCACCATCTGGTCTGTCTATTACATCGTTATGTTCTACGATATTGTTCTAAACTTGTTCATCTTCTCTGGTCGAACCATATGGTCCTTCTCCAGAGACGGAGGTGTCCCATTCTCAGCATTCCTGTCACATCTCAACTGGGCCAGTCCTGTTCGAGCTACTGCAGTCATGCTTGCCTTGCAGATCATTATTGGAGTTTTGTACGTTGCTTCAAGCACTGCTTACAACAGCTTTATTGGTCTTACACTGTTCGCGCTCAACATTACTGTCACTCTTCCCCAGGCCGCGCTACTTGTTCGAGGGCGTAGTTGCCTTCCTGAGAGATCTTTCTCACTTGGTAAAGCAGGATATGCCGTAAACACTGCGGCTACACTATTTGTTGCATTGTTCTCTGTCAGCTTTTGCTTTCCTGCCTTCATGCCTGTCACGGCATCTTCAATGAACTATCTTATCGTAGTTATGGCAGTTGGCCTGGTATTTACCACTGCACTCTGGTTCGGTGGTCTTCGAAAGACGTTCACTGGACCCCAGGTCAGTCTGGAGGGCGAGGATCAGTAGAAGAAATATTATCAATTTGTCAGAAAGTGGACTTGATGTGCGCGTGTGTTATTTCAAGCTAGCTATACTTAGCCTATGAGAACGTTTGAGTTTATGACTTTGGATTCCAAGTCCTTTTCTCGGCTGTGATGGATAAGTAACCCGCGATCAAAGATTCAAGATCTTGATGGTTGCATTCACTGAGCAAATACCTCTGTCTTGCTGAAATATTCATCCCTATTACATAAATAGAATAGTTTGGTAGCTCCTGTATTCATTAACTTGTACAAAGCGACCTTCAATGGTTCCTCCGAACCACAGACACAAAGTCTCAGCTCTCCCTAACTCCGCACTCTGCCTCCCGACTCTACAGCTTCATGACATACTTTCCCTCCAACTGCATTTGTGTTAGCTAGTCACAATTGGTTGTATGGTTTTGAACTTACCTGTCCTTTGGACATTTGCTCCATCAGACCCTCAATATCTTCGAGATCAGCCCATTTGATCTTGGGGATAACGAGTCTTCGCTTGACAAATTGCAAAGCCTCAAGGATATCAGCCCTCGTCCCCACTGCCGAGCCTTTCACGGTCCAGCCATTATCAATGAACCAGAGCGGGTGGAAGGAGATCTTGACCTCTTCTGGCAGAATCGACACACACATCAATGTGCCGAATGGTCCCAGCATGTCGAACGCCTTCTGATACGCAGCAGCAGCCGTTGCGGTGACGACGACGGCCTTAGCTCCTTGACCATCCGTCAGATCCTTGACTTGCTTTCCTGGATCTACACCAGACAAAGCATCAACATAATGTTCAGCGCCTTGAGATTTGCAGTATTCTTCTTTCCCAGGACCTGCGTCAACAGCAATGACTCGATAGCCCATTGCGTGAGCATACGCAACACCTAGAGCTCCTACACCGCCACCTGCGCCGGAAATGACAACCCATTGGCCTGGCGTGAGGTTGCAGTTCTTGATAGCCTTGTAAGCTGTGACACCTCCGCAAAGAATAGGCGCGATCTCCTCGTCGGGAATATCATCAAAGGTTGATGGGATACGCGCCAGATAACGCAGAGGCACAGGAGTATACTCAGCAAAAGTGCCGTCATATGCTTTGGCAGAGTGCAAAGCCTCAACGCAACGCGTCTCGCCCTCATTAGCAATGTCAACGCACATGCTGCAGGTCCCGCAAATATCTCTGATCCATGCTATTCCGACTCTTTGGCCAATCTGAACGCTGGAATCCAAGTTGGTAATGTTGGAGCCAAGCTCTGCAACTTTGCCAACGCCCTCATGGCCGAGAATCTTCCCCACGGGTCCCATATGACCCAGGGCCATGCCTAGATCAGAGCCGCATAGACTGGTGAGTGAAAGGCGGATGAGGACTTCATTTGGACCGGGGACTGGCCTCGGGAGTTGCTTGATCTCAAACGTGGGCTTGGCATTGTGCTCCTGTGATGACTATTGGGGTTAGTATTCAAGACCAGGCATAATGATATCTACGGTAACATACGGTAAGAACAGCAACTTTGTAAGTATCCGAAGTCATTTTAGTGATGATCAAAAGGCAAATGAGTGAGGTTACGATTAGCTTTGTTGAATGCGGAGGCCCCAGATCTTAAGGGAGAGCAAAAAGTGAGTGTCTCAGGGAGGCTTATCCAGGCTTGGTAAATCACCCCGCGCCTCCGATATCGTAGAATCATGAGAATTGTCAATCATGTTCTTCTGCATACGGCAAACCTCGCTGTGGCCGGCGGCCACGTCGGGACCGGGTCGTTTCAACATTCCCAACTCGGCAAAGTGTGCGGAGATGACGTCCCGGGATATCGTCATGGCACTTGTGGGGTAAGCCGCTTCCTACGCAACGTTATCGGGCGGAAGTAGACCGCAGATTACGGACGCTCTTGATTGGAGTACATCCAAAGTCATGGAGCTTGGTTGGATATTGCGTGTGAGAAGTACTTGTGCTTTAATCTCTTACCCCACATTACCACTTCGCCGTCCCACATGGGGCATCTAGGCCCGCGTAACTTTAACCTCAACCAAGCATCAATCTTGCTGGCCAAGTCGCTCAATTTTCTTTGGTATCCTACTATAAAGAGGGTGCAAAATACATATAGTAATTGACTCCGAAGTTAGCATCAACGAAAATGAATCTCCCTCCACTGAGGTCCGTCAGTACACTCGGGACCTAATAATTCTCCTTCCATCACCCCAGACCAGTACTCTCTCCAAGACACTGGTATGTAGCGTTTTGAGCTTTACGAAAGACCATAGGGATATTCATGCCTTGGACGATATAACAAATGTCGTTGGCCTCAGCGATCAAGGGAACCAATGCCATTATTCCTTGAGTTGTCATCGCAAGGCGCCGATCCCCCGATCGCGGGAGTGAGCGTTTGACGGAACCTCCAAGATAGAAGTCCGTGGAAGAGACGGAGAGGTCGTCTTAGTTCCCGCCTTGCTTCGAAGTCTTTCGTATAGCATCAACAGATCATCAACATAATCGTCAGAAGTTGGACGTCCACGTACGTGCAAGGGTCAAGCTGAATGGTCCAAGTAGCTTTGTGTCACTCATGAGATTACCCATGGTCCGTTCAGGCTAAAACTCCCGTTCCATGGCTATTCTGGTATCGCAAAGAAAAGGGAAGCAGTCTTCAGCCACAGTATTATCATCTCTTTCAAGCCAGTACAGAACATATTTTGCTTCGCGAAAGATCTTGTCTATTTTTCGAACTTGCTGGCTTTTCTCTCTCATCCGTTTGGTTGATACATACTGCATCAGACCAGAGAGATCTGGATCTATCATCCAAGCAAAATGAACGAAGTCCCAGCTCCAGATTTGTCGTTACAGGAATTGAGGCACTATCACAAATAATCGTAGATGTGATATCCGAGCAACCCCAAACATAAGAAACTGGCTCATAGTTATATTCTACCTCGCCCAGCAATGCTTCGTTCAAACTACAGCGGATTACAACATTGCCAAAGCCCGTAATACTTTTATCAAAATAACTTATGTTCTAATACTAAAAGCATTAATAACCAAGAAAATATAAGCTAATTAAGTTTATAAGATTATTATATAGTAACTTCAAAAATAATACCATCACCGATAAGATCATAACGGCTTCTTCATCGAATTCCGGAGTTCGATCCATCATGCCCTCACGCATCGCATCTGCAATGCTTTTGTATTCTATTCCCGGGTCACTATGGTCAAACACCCTTGTGATCTGGGATGCTTCAAACGGTCGGTCGCTGCTAACAGAATCAACAGGGAACTTGGTAATACTCTTGAAAGATGCTTCATGCCCAATGCGGAAGGCAAGATCTTCTGCAAAAGTGTGGAAATGATTGAAGACAATATTGTAGCCAATTTTCGAGTCTACTTGGTCTTGCACTAGCTTATTTGCTTTCAATAGATTGGATGTTAACCACTCAACCTGCAGTGATGAACTGTATTCGTTTCGTACCAATATTTCCAATCTCTTCAAAGGAATGATCGGTAAACCCGTAGTATACGGATTGCCACCCATTGGGTAGACCTTCATATTCCTGAGGGTCCTTCTGCGCTAAGACCTTGTCCTTGGTGCTTGTGCCAATGACCACGCCGTCATGCCTGTCGTAGACGAAACCCGAGGATTGCGCATTGAGAGGTTCTCCGTTTAGATGCTGGCCCACTTCCGTCACTACCACCCTTGCGTGATGGAAGGGACGCAGTGAGCTGCTCGTGTGTTTGGTTGGCTGGTACTCGATGAATACTGCACGAAGCTGCATTTTCACATGCATGTCAGCCGCAGCAAGAGCTCGTGATGGATCCGACATTTGACTTACTTTACGCTGTTTCTGCTCTGGTGTCTTGTGTCAATTCGTCTCCCAGTCTATCAACATGGGCGACATCTGCGAATCATATTACCCATCTGATGAACACCACAGACGGTTTTGGGACGGCCAAAGCAATAAGGACGAATGTGGAGTGAATGTTCCTGATGGCTTCCCGAAGACCTTGAGCTCAACGCTGGCCTGGAGAGGCGAAGACATCCAAGACAAAGAGGCTCAGTGGAAGGTCAAGCTCTCTGACCAAGACGTTTCTTCCATTCATAACGCCGTGAAAACCTTTGACGGTTGGTTTCCATCAAATTCAAGGTCTTTATGATTGTCCAATTGATCTGAGCTGACCCTACCGAAGAGAACTCCCATGATCTTACCCAGATTTCTACCACCACCTTCCCACTCCCCATCGATCTATCGCGACGTTTGAGACATCTCTCGGATAATATCTATAACGGAACTGGGTTCCAGATACTCAGCGGCCTAGACCCGTCAAAGTATTCTGCCAGACAGAACGTTCTTCTACATGCGGGCATCAGTGCTCATATCTGCCCAGAGCGAGGTTTCGTGGACGTCTTTGCCAAGCGGCCCATTGGTATGGCCTCCTTGATCTGGAAATCGAAGAAGTCGCTTGATGCTAAGTTACCACAGGTCATGTAATCAATGTTCTAAATGGCAGTGATGGGCCAGCATCCATGGCTCCAGCATTTAGTGATGGCCCCTTGGTAAGTTGCGTCGCCCGCTCATCTGTCGAGCCGAGAGCTGTACTTAACCTCTTTAGTCATTCCATACGGACCATTGCGAGGTACTGTCCTTTTACTACCAAGAGATGTCTCCAAAAGGCGGGCAAACAATCTTGAGTAGCTCATGGCAAGTCTACAATGAGCTAGCCACGCACTCTCCCGAAGTACTCCATACACTCGCTGAGCCATGGGTGCTAGACTCGTTAGTTTTTCCAATTCTATTGCGAATTATAGATACGCGACGCTAATATACTAGATTCAAATCTTATTCATTGCAACCGCCACGAAATGTGAGCTTCCTCTCCAATCTAGGCCCCGAGAATATGCCGCCGGTGCTCTTCCGATATTCTCGCTATCCTATCCTCGGTTGGCAGCGTAAGCGAAACTCAGAGCTACCAGCACCAAGCCAAAAGCAGATGAGAGCTTTGGACGCTGTCCAGTTCATCGCACAAAAGAACGCCATGTCCTTGCCAATTGCTCGGGGTGATATGATCTTCATCAACGACTTGGCAGTCTTTCATGCTCGCGGCGAGTTCAAGGACGGTGACGCAAGTATGAAGAGACACCTCCTCAAGATGTATCTTCGTGATCCCGAACAGGGTTGGACGGTGCCTCAGTCTCTTCAGGAGACTTTCGGGGCGAGATACACTCGTAAGCCCGGCGACCTGAGTCCAGAGGTCTGGGACATTGACCACGAACCTGGTTTGGAAGAGCTTTCATTTGTCAATGGTTAGGAGCAAAGCGGTTCATCAGAGTCTGTAGCAGCAAGTTCTCGTTTCCATTTGTCTCAGACCACCATTATCTCTGGCCTAATGGCTCAACCCAATCAGCCTCAGATCTTTTACCACTATTAGCAGTGCTTGTCTTGCATAAGAGCTGTCTCTAGAAAGTTTAACGCCTCTCGCTCGCATCTAGAACCTAGCTTCCAGCGTCATCGCACAGTAGATTTATCGACTGCCCCATGAAGATGCGTGAGGCCGAGTGACGAAACGTCCTAGAATTATGTCAAGACTGTCTGCCTACCTTTATCTGGTTGCCGATGTCAGACCTTACTTGGAGCTCGTAAAGAGTTGCGTCATCTAACAAACCTCCATGTTATAAGTGTTCAATTCTTATCATCTCGAAGGGCCACCATGGCGTTCATTCAACTGCTTCAGCCACCTCAGACCTCCCTTAGAGTTAAAATCATTTCAAGCATGCCATTCGAGGGAAAGCAACGTGGCTCTTGAGGCTTTTCAGCCCTAATCTCCCGACAATAGGGCCCTATACCAAGCCTCCATAACGATTCGAGACGTTACAATTTTAAGCTCGAATGGCTTCACTAAAAGGAGACTGTGATTCGATGTGGTTGCATACCACGTAACAACTGACCAGTGACGTCTGTCTCTAAAGAGAGCGCCACATATGACTGGCTTCGTTGGCGTTCTGCAACTTAGCCCCTGATTGGGTGCTAGCTTCCAGCCATGGCGTTGGACGCACGAACGCGGATTCAGCGTGGCTTATTCGCTGTTAGCTTTAACGCATTTGTGAGGCATTGCTATGGTGCTAAAATTCCAGTTGTGCAGATGTGGCTTATCAGCTAGAGCTTGATTTGAAGCCATCACGGCGTTTGCCGTTGCAGTGTCTGGAAGAACTTGGATTTATATAAGGTCTGGATACAGATGCTGTTTGAGACCATTCACACAATCACAGTTCAGTTCTTCAGCTATAAACATCGTCTCGAGTAATCCGCTATCATGGACGCGCCCAAGTCTTACTATCTCTACAATCCCTCCGAGCCATTGGCAGGAGTCGTCGCAGGCCTTTATGGAGTGAGCTTCTGCATCACGCTCTGGCAGATCATTCGGAAGAAGGCCTGGGTATGGCTCTTCATGCTGCTTGCTATTGCGAGTAAGTCAACATTTGGGCAAATGCGAGGCATGTCAGTTAACCATCGATGCAGTGGAGGTCATCGGCTATGCAGCTCGAACCGTATCCGCTACCAAGCCGACAGAAAAAGGACCTTACGTGCTTCAGTTCACACTTGTGATCTTACCCCCAGTCTTGATGGCCGGTGTCATCTATGTTATCTTCGCTAGAATCGTCTTCTGGGTTGTTCCTCCGGAGTCGAGAACTCTGCGATTTCTCTGGGTCCCTGGTAAGTATTCATCGCAGCGAAAGTGAGAGATATACTAATACTTCGTAATAGCTCGTTTCATTACTCTTCTCTTTGTTGGCTTCGATATCATCTCGCTTCTCCTCCAACTCGTCGCTGCAGTTCTCATCGCAGGTACCGACCCAACCGATCCTGATGCGAAGAACAAGCTCAACCTTGGCAAAACACTTGGTCTTGTCGGTGTGAGCACTCAGATTGCTGGCTTCGGTCTTTTTACTGTTTCCGCCATCCGATTCCACTTCGCTGTGAGACGACTTAGCCCCGACTTTGCCAAGGACAATCAGGAGAAGCATGGTATTGTGAAGAAGTGGCAGACTCTACTCATTGTTGTCAATGTCTCATGCCTACTCATTCTTGTAAGTCAAAATGTCTACATATTCATCCCTCGATTACTTACGACTATTAGGTCCGTTCAATCTATCGTGAGATCGACTTCGCTGGTGGCAAGGACGGCACTACCCACCAGAAAGAGTGGTAGTAAGTAAAAATGTCCTACATTCTCGAACAAACTAACAATTATACCACAGCTTATATGTCTTTGACGCTCTTCCCATCTTGCTCGTTGTCTTCCTTTACAATGTCTTCTTTCCGGGTAGCTATCTCAAGCACCTTGGTTTCAAAGTGCCCAAAGAAAACCAGGGCACGGTCCTGGACTCGGAGGCTGCTAGCAAGCAGGTCTCGACGACTGCCGAGTCTGTATGACATACGCCATCTGTACCACGGGCAGCTCAGGTACCCAAACGCTTCTGGTTGGTATGGAGAGTTTTATCCCTGCTTTTCATGAGATGTCTTCTTAAATTTTGTTACTTTATCGCCATATGCTTTGAGCTTTAGTAAAATATTTGGTTTTATGCATGCAGATAGAATCAGTTATATACATTTCGACTATCAATGATCCTCAATTCGCCGACAGCCTGTCTTAATCCCGATTACGAATACGCTTTATGACGAACTGAGTTGTTACTGAGCTAGGTGAAGCAAATTACAGGGGTCTGGCTAAGATATGGACAAACCAATCGTGAGGGGCAGCTCAGCTAATAAATTGACGATGAACTGCACAGCATCAACAAAGATCCATAGTCGGTGTGATATGGCGTTCAGTGCAAGAACATGGGCACTGTTCTCCCAGATGACTTGATGCAGCTAGACTGGATAGATCACCAGCAGGGCTGATATGGCCATTACGGGAATCATCGGCTGTGGCACCCATTGACCTATACTATGATTGACGTTGGAGCGGGTACTAGTCTCAAACATACACATCATACAACCCGTCTAAAGCCGAGCTACAGAACTCATTATGGGGACAACATTGTCGAAAAAGCAAGCGTCGCGGAAGGAGAGCCAGCCCTTCTAAGACATAGGCCATGTTGAATGCGCGAAGAACAACAGGCACTGGGTTAGGTTAGCATGAGCTCAAGAGGCATAGTACCCCCAAAAAAGACTTTAAACTTCATCGCGGGTGAAAGTGGGCTCATTCACGTTGCTATGAATTTTCCTACGGAGTACAGATTCTCCTTTTCTTTGATCATCACTTCGAGTGCGCAAGCACCAGAGTCCGTAGGTGACCAACGTTGTGAACAGGGCTGACAACAAGGTCCGTGCCCCCGCCCCTGAAGATGAATCTGGGGTTAGCTCTAGCGCTTCAACAAACCAGCTCGACTCCCTCAACTCAACTCAATTCTTATGCCGACGTGGGGAAACGCGGAGTCATCCAGAAGCCGAATAAGAGCAGAATGTCGGTCTGGGCACCAACTTACCGTGCAACTACCACGGTTGTCTCAACAAATCCCGAGCGTAGCCGAATTCCTGCCGCGTAATTGTCACCTAGGTGAGTCAACCAAGACCTCCTGGTTAACCCGACGCAAGACGGCTGAGTTTAGCGCAGCCGCATTGCTCACCGCGACGACCCACAAGGTGAGCTCACGCGAGGTCTTATTGGACCTGCGACTTGATCGTTTTCGTGATGATCGCAAGCATTGGGTGATTTTGTTGAGGAATGCCTTCTCGGATGATGACGGGCTGGGTGCTGTTGTGCTGTAGTGCCTACAGCGGTAGTTCAGCGCTTGTGCACGCCAAAGTGCTCTGATAGGTTGCCCTGCGTGGCTTGGTTTCACGGTGTTTCGGTGTCTCGGTATCAAATGCCGTAGACTATAATAAGAGTCATAACCTAGAACTCAATGACCTTCTAATCTGATTCTTCAGCTTTTCCAATATTCTCAATTGATTGAATTTGACTGCGGACTGTCAAGATGACGGATGTTATGAGTATTAGGGAGCAGCAGCGCTGTACACTGCAGTACTTTGCTGTTGACCTTGCAGCTGCAGCTTTCGCTTCTGCTTTGGTCACTCCCTGGGTGACAGCCATTGATAAGTGAGTTCCCTATCAACATATATCTCAGCCCATCTTATTATGCTTTAAGTTTTTTAAGATACTAACAAATGTCGTTAGGCTCGTCTTCAACAAAGCAACCAGCAACACGTCCATCAAATCCTCCATGCGAAAGTGGGCATCCAAGCCCAAGGCAACATTTGCTTCTCTCTTCATACCATTCCTCGTCTACTTCGGAACCTACGCAACGGCCAACATGTTCGATTCCTTCAACGCCGTCCAATACGACTGTGACCCCTCCATCGTCTGCTCATCCCCCGCCAAGTTCGCCGCTACCACGACCGTCAGTTCAGGGCTGAGTATATTCAAAGATGCGTACTTTTCCAGAATGTCTTGTGGCATGTCGACTCCTCTGCTGAGCTATGCACTGTTTACCCTGCGAGATGCGGTGACTATATACGCTTCGTTCAACCTGCCTACCATGATTGCTCCCAAGCTTGCCGAGTTCCCCTTCGCGTCGATTACCCCGTTTGCCAACATTTTTCAGTCCGATGATGCAAGGCTTAAGATGGCTCAGCTGTTTATGCCAGCTGCTTCGCAGATAGTCAGTACTCCGATTCACCTGCTCGGTCTGGACGTCCATGCTCGTCAAGTTCGCATGACGATCAAAGATCGGATTAGTGTCATTCGGCGCTACACTGGCTTTGCTACACCTTTACGTATGATACGAGTCTTACCTTCGTTTGGTATTGGCAGTGTCGCCAATACTGGTTTTAGAAGGAACATGATGACTCGGGTGGTTTGATTTGACTTGCAGTTTGAGATGTTGTAGTTTCAACACGGGAACTCCAAGGAAGCCTCAACGCGGAGAAGTCTTATTATTTTGCGTTCATAAAAGTCTATTATAAATTGAGGACATCTTTTTCAGGTCTAAACTTTCCAACGCAGTAAAATTGCCAATACCATTTTCAGTTGGTTGACCATCATGTCTACAACGAGCACCTTGATTCGTCCGGTGAAATCATCGAGCTGTCTCGTGGTCATGCAACAAGCATTATCCTTGATGCTGTTCCTTCGATTTGCGGGTGAGCACATTAAAAGTACATGATCACAAGCCGAAGGGAGCAAAAGTTTACGGAAAGCCAATGGTTTTAGAATGCAGTAATTTTCATCTCTTGCTATTTAGTGCCATAGTAGTCATCGAATACATGAATCAAACGCTAAAGTCCACTCATTCAATGCTATGTATATACATCCTCATGCCTCGTTCTTTTTTTCCTTCTCTTTCTATTTTTTTAATTTGCTTAGAACTTGTCTTGGTTGGCGTTCTGCATCAGCATGGTGTTATCAGGCTTGTACTTCTTGGAAGCAAGGTTGACGTTGTACTCGACATCAAGAACAGCGCCCTTGGGCTCATCCTTGACAGGCTTGAAATCAAGGAGGAGATCGTCCTTGACAGCGCAAGCAGTGTCGGTCTCGAGATAGGGATCGTCGTTGGGGTACAGCTGAGCAGTGACACCGAGGTAATCATCGTGGGTGACCATGATGTGAATGTGAGCAGGGCGGTAAGGATGACGGCCCATGATCTTGAGGAGCTCGGCGGAGGGACCAGATGTGTCGATGGCGTACTCTGTGGGCTTGAGGCAGTAGAACCAGAACTTTCCGTCAGCGTCGGTGCGGAACTTGCCGCGAAGGTTGTGGCGCGATTGGTTCTCGGGGTCGTGAGCGTCGTATTTGCCGTTGGTGCTGGCTTGCCACATGTCGAAAACGGCGTTGGGGATTCCCTTTCCGGTATCAACGTCGCGGATGACGCCGTGGAAGAATGTGAGTTGGCCGTCCTTGGGCATGTCGTGGACGACGCTGGCGCCGAGGTCGCGGAAGGGGGTCTCAGGAGACCAGAAGGGACCGAGAATGCTGGAGGATGTAGGGGCCTTGCCGCCTTCGGTGACGACCTTGTGGTTGATCTCATCGACGAGGCTGCGATTGTGAGCGATTGATCCGGCGGGCGCAATTGATTGGGGAACTTACGACTCAATTCCGAGAATGTCGCAGACGCGCCATGTCTCGTTGCGGTTCTTCTTGTAGGCCTGGCCAAGAGAGTTGATGTAGTTGACGCCGATGATCCACTCGTCCTGAGTGAGCTCGACCTCTCTGCAGAAGTCGTGCATGTGACGAATGAGAGAAGTGAGGATGACGCGCTGGCGGGGGTCGGTCTCGGGGCTCATGAGGCCGATGACATGGTCTGTGAAGTTGGGGTCGAACTTTGATTGCGCCGTGGCGCCGTTGGTGCCGTTTGTACCGTTGGAGGCCATTGTTGATGATGATTGGAGGGAAGTGTCTGGGGATCTAGGGATCTGGGGTATCTGGGGATGAGTGATGATGAGGAAAAAGACGTTTGGGACAGAACGTGGAGGTTGCGCCGTTAAGTATGAAAATGAATTGTTGTTTGCCGTTTTCGTAGCCGGGAGACTTGGAGGGGGCGGGGCCGTGGATCATGGACGCCAACGGTAGCGGCAATTCAAGTCGGCTCTCCACGTCAGAATGACCATTGCAAATACTGCCTCTCGATTGGCCCGTCTCCTCTAGCACAATCTTGGGGTAAGAGATCCGAACCGGGGGAAATATTCTTACCCGCAGGTGCCGTACCAAGATGCCGATTCCTCACCAAGCGGATCTTTGTTTCTCCAACTTTTCCCACCTTCTGGATGAATAGATTGCCGACTCTTCTTACCGGATATGGTTCTCGTACGATTTATTACCGTTTTCTGACTGGTTTGCTGTCGCGAACCATTTCACGTGCATATCTGATTACATCAACCTCGACAAGGCCATTCTAGAGCTCACGGCAAAGATTCACGGTACGCTCAGCTGGACAAGACAATATCCAGGCTACATGGTTTCGAGAACATCAGGTCATATTGCATCACAAGAAATATCACCTTCAGAAGCGACAATGACCGAGACAGCTCAATCACAGACCAAGCTCTAGGGTACCTCATCAATTGACTCCGGGGGTCCCCGGCTGGTCAACCTGGGGTAGCTGCACTCATGCTAGGGTCCTGGGACTTAGTAGACGCATCAGCCTTATTGAAATCACCGGGAATAACGTCATGACGTCTCTGAACCAAGGAGGCCTATCACGTTTACATTGGGAAAGTGTGCCGTATTGACGATGCCGAGGGCACGGTGATGGGGAATCATGGATGCGGGGCACTGGATGACCCGCCAAAAACCACAAAGCCTGGGGGTCAAGAAAACCCAACGCCTTGATCCTAGATGACAAAACGACTTAGGTAAACTTGCATAATTTTAGGATATTTTTTACTGAGTTTATTTTGACACCTTATGTTAAGGTTCGGCGTCTTCTTGATCCTTGAGACCGAAGTAATGCCCCCTAATGCTAATAGAACGCGCCAAAGCAAAGGTCTCAAACAGCACTAGCTCACAAATGCCAGAAGTTACAAAGAAACACCCTCGCTAACCATCAACCGACTCTCCTTCAATTCCTTCAATTATCCTGTACATCCGTCGCAGCAAAGGACCCATAAACTCGTGCAAACTGCTCCCCAAATGCCTTGCACAGCTGATCGAACGGCTTGGCTGTCAAGTCCATGCTGAAAAAGTGAGAAGCATACCATCGTTGAACCGAGAGTATAAAGAACTTTCCATCAAGACTTGCTTCCGAGAGGCCAATTCTCAAGATGCACCCAACCTTGAGAGACTCAAAGAGTTCAGGATCATACGTCGTCAGTTGATCCTGCCACCACTTGCAAAAGCTGTCGAGTTCTGCCAGCGTTGCTTCTTGTCGCTTGGTCACTGCTAGGTCCGGACCTGGATGTCGAGAACCATGGGCGCGAAAATCGAAGTGGCAGTCGTAACGAAGAGGCGATGTGCTGTGTACTTTTGTTCGTTGGTCGCTTGAGGTGAAGCTGCGGGCAATGATCTGATCGCCGACCATAAAAACGCGGATGTATCCCCATTCGGAAACCGAGGAAAAGCACTGCTGGTGAATGACTCTCATGGCAGATCCCTGCGTATAGGGCTGGCTGTGAATGAACGTGTTATAGCTCGGGTCTGTGCTATGATGCATGTAGTCGTCGCGATCACTAAACGCGAACCTGACGAATTGTGACCCCTGCATCTCATCAAGTTTGCAGGGCCCGGTGGCCAAGCATGTCTTGGGCCTGTGACTGTATGGTTCCGGTGTGGACTCTTTCACTGCGATTGAATCCAATGCCTTGACATCGGCAACTTTGTATCCGCAATTCCAGCTCTCGTGGTATGCCGGGAAAACGCTGATGTTGTCGAATAAACGCTGGAGTGCATATATGGCTTCATAAAGACCACGAACTTGAGGATGCAGGCTCCAATCGCGTGGGTGAAGTGGGATGTAGAATACGATGGGCCGGTTGTTATCGCAAAACTGATTAGCGAGAGAATTGCCTCCTTCCTTGATGAGGCTCATGATCCAATCGAGAGTGCAGTATTCAACCGTCACGCGTTGAGATCTCTCGGCCCAAAGCATAGTGACAACCTGCTGATGGAGAAGGACAACGCGTTCGTTCCAGGAGGGCTGGATCAGCTTTGGTTTGAGCTTCTGTGATCTCGCGATACGACCAGCCAAGTCAAATAGACCATGTTTTTGTTTCTCTTTGGGACCGATGTTGCTGACAAGTCCAGGACCTAAATCGACTTCCAGATCCTGAAGTCTCCCAGGCGTTAAAGTGCCCAGGACGTCGCCCGCTTCGAAGGAGCTAAGAGCTGGGTCGCAGGGGATTCTGCAGTCGGGGCCTTCTTCACCGATATCTTTGTGGTGGCTGATGGCAACATAGATGACATGAACGCCGGGCTCGTCGCTTACATGTCGGGGTCTCTTCAACGGCGCGGAAGCCGCTTGTGTCGTTGGGGGCGCGGTTCTTTTTGTTGCCGACATTTTGCATCTGAGATGGTTGAGGATGCAAAATCAGCTTGTGCGGAGCACCTTATACGATGTCGAGGTGTTGTTTGCTTTGGATTGAGCGCACCTGCCTCCCTTTGTGAGGGGGGGGACCGCTGAGTCACTGACCAAAATCACCAGGCTGAAGCAGCTGCCCTATATTGATTGCCATCAGACATTGGACTCAGGGGCCAGAAAGACGTCATCTGAGGTCCAGGAAACTACAACGAAACTTGCTAGACTTTTAGTAATCTTTTTGTCACTTAAGAACAGAGGTCCTACGTCTCAGCACAGACTCTTGCTGCTGCTTGCCTGTTTACAAAATCACAAAATGGGTGCGAGGCCAAAGCCAGGGTCATCTGAGCCGACTTAGTTGGTCTTTTCGGTCTGAAAATTGACTCTAGAATTCGTTCTCATATAGTTCGATAGATACAATCAATCAATAATCACGTTCAAGCCACTGGTGGCAGGCCTCATACAGCTTGAGAAGCTGTGGTTCAGCATCATAGAAGTGATCTGACAAGGTCTCATCAACACAGCTGAAGAATCGAAGAAGAGCAACGACAGTAAAGTCCGCGTACGATGCTTCACACGTTAGCAACGGCATCATAAATGTGTCTGAGATTGATCTTGCTCTTACGATGGTAATTCATCAGAAACGGTCCTGGGGTCTCGGCCAGTGCCTCTCCGATCCCGTGACAGATGGCATCAAGCTGGTACCAAAGCTGCTCGCTGACGTGCTCACTATAATATAAATCAAGACTCATTCCAAATCTTTTTGATCGCGTGTCTGCGTAATATTGCCGATCGGATGGCACAAGAACATTTTTGGGTAGTAAATGTGCCCATAACGGCCTGCTGCTTATCAGCAGCTTCTCTGCTAATTCTTCGACCATAGCGGATTCTTCTGAGTCAAATTGAAGTGACGGCGAGCTAAACTTCTTCTCTAATTCCTCGGCAATAGACCTTGAGCCCATGACACCCCTTGTGGTCTCGCCCTCCTGCAGAAGGATGCAGGGAATGGTATGGGGGCTTAAAGGCGGCTCATTTGGTTTCACACTGAGTTGGTGTCAACGATTGATGCAAATGAGCTTTGGGACCATCAAGACCTACTGAGGCTGCATATAGGTACTGAGGTTGGAAAAGTCAAGCCATTCAGTCGTATATGGCAATGCCTTGTAATTGAGGACGAGCCGGGCTACCATTGCACAGTCAGTCTAACACGCGGCCTCGGTGTGAAGGGATCAAACCTTTCCAGACATTTGGAGACCATGATTTTCGTGTTATACTTGGAATATCAAAAAGCGTGATCAACGGACGAGATGCCATTTTTCTTTTTCTGTTCTTTAATCTGATGCCCTCACTGAAATGATTCAGCCGAGGTTCTTTCATACAAGTATCAATTTCTGTTGAGGTTGATCGTCGCTGACATGGAATCGTTGAAACTTGTCCCAGTTGAGTTAGCTCCTTGACTGTGGCATCAAAAGCGGGTCCAGTCGGGCAAGTTTATGTCATTTTCCTCAGTGCAATGTCCGATCGCCCAGATTATCCCACGTCCATCACTAAACATCAGCATATGCCTTGCGTTTTGCGCCTTGCGCCCTGTATCTTGAAACCTTTCTGTTTAGTTGCACTAAATGTCATTCCCTCTCGTCTTTTCTGAAGCAAGAATCATAATTTGTCACAGCTTATAGTTACTGTTCTCTCTGAACCAGCTTACAAACGTGCCGCTCATCTGCCGCGATGTCTCCTCGCTCTAATGAGCCACCCAGCCCAGAGGCCAAGGTAAAAGCATATTCGGGTCTCTTATGTCAAATTTGCCGTGTCCCTAACAGTAGACTCAGGAACGTCGCGCACGTAATAGGGCAGCACAGCTCAAGTTCCGGAAGAAGAAACAAGAAGTCGACGAGATACGCTGCAATCGGATAAAGCACCTTGAAGGCGTGGTTGAGAAAATGAGCACTGTATTGGTGGACTTTACGGATGGTCTCTTGCAGCAAGAAATAGTCCAACAGAGCCCTGGCATGATGGCGAGCATTCAAGGTGTTATCGCCGATATCCTTACACTGGCCAATGAAGCCGGAGACCCCGAACAGGAGCCCAAGGCTCGTAAGGCTCGAGGTAAAGCCACTGAAACCGATCATCATTCTCTCAAAGACTCCGAGCAAGAGCTTCCTAGTTCAAACCCCAGCATTAAAGTTACCGCTATTCCCGATGACCCGACGACTGCCATTTCCCCAATGCCCCTTGCAGACGACTCCCCCATAAATATGCCCTTATTTGAAGACACAATCGTGCCGCTACCGGTTGTTCCCACGGTCTACACTAAAGCAAACTACCCACCCTCTACGGTACCGGCACCTCTCAGCCCTCTTTTGTGGACATCCACATTGCCCCCCCTGTCCCTCAACTCCTTCATTTGTCGTCTCACATATTCATGCTTCAAGGTTGGCTGCCTTGTTCTCAGCCGATCGATCGATGCACCACTCCCGCTATCAGAAGAGAGTCGCATGTTTGGCTCGACCCTTCGCTACCGCGAAAGGGACGAAATGATCTTGAGAATGCGATGGCTACTCGGCCCCGGAAAGCATGAACTCCAGACCTTGGCTGAGTTACCATGGGGAGGGAGATGGTGGGATCAAGAGTTTTCTGGTAGCGACCTTGCGAATTATGCCACGAATGCCGCCATGGTTGACTCGTCTGCCCCCCAGTTCCTCAGCGTCCTTGGTGTTGAGAAACAGCTCATGGCACTTGGCGCTCGCTTTGTGGATAATGAGACCATCGAGCTGGACGCGAGTGCCTTGGCGATATTGTCAGGGAATCGCTTAGAGCCTAGCTGCGCGCAGCCAGAGAGCTGGAGTTTTGTCAACCTTTTCCCGTCAAAAGATTCACGACCGCAGATAGACGCGCCGAGAGTACGAGTCAGTCTGAATCTACTTATAATGAACTTGACGAAGATAGCGGTTTGTTTGATGAAAGGCCCTGGTTTTCCCAGACAGGCATTGAGAGGAGCGATTGAACAGTCTGTGATTACAATGGAGATCAATCCAGCGAGGCCCGGTATGGCCAATATGGAATCATCGCTTTGTTACTAGACTAAGTAGCAGTGCCTGAGTATCTATTTGAACATCTTGTCTAGCTTCTACTCGAACTGCCCTGTAATATTCACTCTTATGATATTGTGCTTCGTATTGGTTCAGGGCAGCGAATGTCGCCAGGCAACAAAGATCAGATTTCACATCTCGCAGAGGCCAATGGATAGCATTGCTCATAGAAGCTCATGTCTCTAATTCGAAGGAAGCTTAGCACCAAGAGGATCTCCGTCGAGCTCGGCACATTTTGGAACCCTCCCTACGTCTTCGGGACTGAAATGCTGATGCGGTGGAATTGCGGAGCTGTCTTCACCTTGTCCTTTGTCGCTTTGCGTCGCATTACCTGGGGACGAGCCTTTTCCGTTCCTCCTGTTCGTGGCCCTCCATAAAATGAAGGCTGCCATGGAGATAGCCAGGGCCATGACACCGAGCACTACTCCGATGCTTATACCAGCTACCTTTCCCAATGCAAAGTTGTTTCCGCCCGAGGATGATGATTCTGACCCAGCGGTCGAAGTTGGGTTTTCTTCAGATGGAGTTGAGGATGTCACCTCGCTTCCTGTCAGCAAGGGTACAGAATTAGTTGATCCAGAGGTTTTGGAAAGTGGCTCACTTGTAAAGCTGTAGTGCTGAACGCCTTGTCATTCACGCTTGGCGCACTTGTCATAAGCCACTGCTGTCGACTCTGATACGGAGTATCGTCAACATCTGGACTCATAAACACTGGCCCATTAGGAATGCAATCGAGATGAAATTTGGTTCCATTATGGACGTTGATGAATCTGTAAGTGTTGTTTGACTTCCACTCAGCATTCCACTGTTGTGTTTCATCGGCAGGAGCTCATGGTACTAACATTGAAGACATCATACCGACTCGCGGTCTAGGTCAAGGAATTGAGAAGTCATTGCATTCTTTGGACGAACAAATTTACCGCCCGAGGCTAGGAGTTCGAGCGGCAGCTGACGCAGGCCTTCCTGATATCGTAATAAACTCCCGCTGTGACGTGTTCGCTTTGGAAGACGGCCTCAAGCTGAACCACGAAACGTATATAAAAGAGACAGTGAAGCGTGGCAAAGCATATCTAGACGCTAGAGCTACGACTATCTTCTTATAGCGCGGATATGGTGCGGGTTTCACGGAAGGTGGCGTGCAGACGCTCGTCAAAGAGCTTGATGGCCGTGTCGCGATACACCTCGACCAGACTCGAGCAGCACTCTCAGTGTCACAGCTGGCTAAGCTAGGTGTTGCAAGAATCAATTTTGGCCCAGCCTCTTCCAGATAGCCATGAATGCTGCCAAGAAATCCGCCATTAGTGTCCTTGAAGGCGGGCTTCTGGAGGAAGTTTAACTATGTGACTTTTTGCCTTGTAAGATAAGGATATAGTTTGCACATTATTTACAGTGATATGCTTGATACACCGGAATCCTTTCACTCAGCATGTATTAAAGTTCAATACCTTCCTTCTATTAGGATAGAAAACATGGTCATCTACATGAGATGTGGCGTAGTGAAGCCAAAATTTCCAAAGGCCTTCGGATGTGAACATTCAGGTATCCGTTTCCATACGCGGTGTTAACTCCTTGAACTGTTCCACCATGAGTGCATTTGGTCGAAGAAACGTATCACATCGCAGCGAAAGGATTACTTACTTCAACTAGGCACTGTTCATTCGCTTCCAAAGTACTTTAAATAGATATCCCAACTCTATCCTATCAATACAATTCTTTTCATCGATGGCATGAGCATTTACAGTCAAGTACTGTACAAGACGACCCTCTCTTCCTTTTCACTAGATTGATTCTAAGTAACTTGTTATTTCACAGGCTTTTGGCTTGGGAGAGATTTTTGACTAACCAACTTTGGAACCTTCCTCGACGTCAACGTCTCCGAGAGCTTCCCTCTTCTTTGCTGTGGCCTTGACACCAGAAACTGGCATCTCAATGTCCTTGGTGACAGTTGTTCCAGTCTTGGCACCACCGTTCTTGAACTCGTCCATGGAGATTGCAGGAGCAACAGTGGCCTCATGGTACTCGTCGTTGAGTTGCTCCTTCTCGTGGATGTGATTTGTAGTGTGAATGACCTTCTGTTGGACTGTTTCTCTCTCGATCACGGGCTGGATGTTCTCATGGAGATGGCTGGGCCAATATGTAAGATTCTGGTACATGGACGAGGCATAGGTTAGTACTTACTGGTGAATGTGCTCATTCTCCTTCGTGGGAGCATACTCTCTTGATTGAGTAGTGTCCTCAACGTTCTTCTCGTTCTTGATCTTGGCAGCTTCTTCCTTGGCCTTCATCTTAGCCTCGTTGTTGCGATGGTCGATCTCCTCTTCGAATTCATTCTCCTTGTAGACATGCTTGGTTGGCAGGACATTCTTGTCCTTGACCGGCTGAATGGTGGTATGGTAATGGTCCTGGTGGACCTCGTGATCGACTTCAGTATCAACCCTTTCGTGCTCGTGAGACTTGACGTCTTCGTGCACAACGGGAGCTTGCTTCTCCTTGTGAATGGTGGCATCGTCAGTAGTCTCAACCGTCTTGTCAACGGTCTTATCGAGGCTCTTGTCGACTTGCTTGGTGGCTGGCTCATTGGTTTCGTTTTGGTCTTCTAGAGGAACACCAGTTACGATGTTCTTGACGGATGAGGCCAGTTTGCCGAGGGCGTTGGGAGGGAGTTCAGAAGCCATTGTGAATATGTGAGGATTTTGTTGTGACTCGAGTAATGTGTGAATAGATTCAAAGTCAGATGTCAGAATATTTGTGGTTCAAATAAGCTGCAGAGCTGTCTCTTAAGAGCTCTGGGTGATCAATGAGCTCATGCCACAGTCCTTGGCAGCGTACGTGACTAATGCTGTCATCGTTCGTCATTTTTTGCATGATTTTCTACGATGTACGATCGATGACGATGAATTTAAACATGCAATCAATTTGCTTCTTTTATGTACCTGAATCTGCCAGATCTATCAATGGTTTTGATTCTTGGCCGTCCTCTAATTCTGTCACTCCAAATCTCAGATGCCCTGTCACACTCGCCTTTTGAGTGGTCATAGTGGATAGCTTACGCCACAGTGATGTATCGACTACGTAGCTAGTGCCACCAGAACCCGAGTTTTTCATGCAGGAGCGATATTACCGTGCAGTCGATGAGGTAATTCAAGATGCCGATCACTTTTGTGGCGCATAATCTTACTCCGAGCTCCTCCGTTGGGTTTAGTTTGAGGAACTGGGAGATCAGGAATACCTGTTTCACAGTTGAAATTATGGGGGGCAACTTGTACTTGTCATCGTCAGACAAGCCTCGGCTGCCACTGATTGTCCACCAATGAAGCTCAGAACTCCCTGACTCCCTGGAGATTGGTGGGGCAAACATGTGCTCCTCAAACTTGGCTTCGATCATCCAGGGCTAGACCGCGCGTCATTGGGCAGACTAGAACCGGGGATGAGCTTGTTTTCTCTCATCGAGATGCTAAAATTGACCTGATTAGTTATTAGAGACATGAAGAAGAGATTACCGAGTTCTTAGCCTGGTCCTGATCCTTTAACTTCCAGTAGCCGTAGAGCAGTCTGTTTTTTCCGATGACGATAACTTCAACTACTGCATTTTTCTAGACTGCTTTTACTCCCGTTGATGTAAGAAAGAATAGAACTATTCTCATTTAAATAGTGATATCGTTTACAACAGTCAACTACATAGTACAGTTGGCATACAAACGTTGTGTCACGTTTCACTAAAGCTCAAAAGAGATGTTGATGCCAGGAAAATTTGTTTTCACTAGCCATTCACTCTTTTCAACAACGACATCGTGCGGAACTCAGGATGTCAAGTCACTGTTAACTATCAAAATCATGCCGAATCTGATAAGCTTGTGTGGAATTCGACCCAAATACCCGTAGCCTCAGCTCCAACTGATGGGCTCTAAGCTTCGTCTGCAATGGCCGTCAGATTCACATCCCCTGTCTTGATGAACTGCTTCTCCTTGGGCAATGAATCCAAAAACTTATCCGAAACCTTCAGATGATCCTTGACAATCTGTTTGGGTGTCAAAGCCAACCATTGTGCCACCGAAACATCTGAGAACTTGGGCGCCTGGAGAACCTCGAGAAAGATCAAGTCCTCCGTTCCAGTGTTTTCAACATAGTGAGAGTTTGCAGCAGGGATATAGCCAACGCCACCAGCAGTGAAATCGAAGGTGCGAGCGGACGAGGCTGCTTTGAAAACGGTGATTCTGCCACTGCCCTGGAGGAAGTAACTCCATTCATCAGAAGTAGTATGCCAATGGATCTCGCGTAGTGCACCAGGCTGTACGACAACAAGAGCGGCTGAGAAACCTTTGGCGATTGGAAAGGTCGTAGGATCGATGATCTTAACAGAGCCTCCTGGTACGGTATGGGGTTTCTGCTGAGACCAATGGTACGTGTAAGAACCATTGCCTGTAAGCGCTCCGGCTGAACCCGTCACATTCTGTTTCTCGATATCCTTCGGCGCCGGCGTTCCGTTGAAAATCTGAAAAGTCATAAGTCATGCTGTAGATAGATGTTGGGGTAATTTACTCACATAGAGCTCATCCTTGGGGATGTTATCAAAGGCCGTTGTCTCGGTCTCAAAGTTCTTTGCCAGAACGGAGACAGGGTTTCGCAAGAATAGCTCAGATACAAGGAATGTCTCATCTTCAGAGAAAGTTCCCTGATCAAATACCAGCAGGAACTCAACGCCCTTGTCAAAGGCCTGGAGACTGTGAGGTATGCCAGCAGGGAAGAACCAGACGTCACCTTCACAGAGATCATCGACGAAGCTTTTGCCCTCGTCGTTGACAGCAGCGACACGCAGACAGCCTTTCGTAACCAGTGCCCACTCATTAGCGGTGTGCCAGTGTAGCTCGCGGTACGCATTCGGAGCAAGACGCATGTCGACTCCAGCCATGGCAGTAGCAGCAGGAAGGACATCCTGGTTCTGCTGTCGAGCCCATCCGGCGCCAGCTTCGCTACCAAGACGATTGTGAGAAAGACCAAGCGGCCACATGGCATTGGGGACATCTCCCGCATCTGTACCAGGAGGAGCAAAAAGATCGGGGTTGAGTCTCTCATAGTCGTAAGTTCGGGGACCAGGATCTGTGGCACCGAGCTCGCCACGGATTGGCTGGGGGACATCCACTCCATCAAAATCCAGATAGATTCCGAGCTTGGGGTCAGCTTCCTGGCCATTGACGAGCTTTGGGTCTTTGACGATGGCAGAATCCTGCTCAGGGTCTGGAAGAGGGGCGTTCCCGCCGAGCAAGCTAGAGTCCCCATACAGCGAACCGCTGGTCGACGTGACTGTTGGTGTTGGTGGCTTGACTCCACCTACGGGTCCTTCATTCTCCCCATAATCGCCCATCCTGATAACTATTAGCTTTTGGTTTGGCATCAGAATGAAGTGAGTACTCACTGAGGGGCAGGGAGAGTCGAGCCTGGGGCGATTGAAAAGGAAGCCACCAAGGCTTTGAAGAAGGTGCTACGGTGTACCATGTTGACTATGTCCTTGAGAATTAGAAGTTGCTGCTTGTCTTATTAGTTTAGATCTAAAGATGCGGGTTGTGAATCGAGAAGTCCAAGACAGTAGCAGGCTGTTTGCCTCTTATAGCATTTGCTCTCAACCTGCCCCATGGTTCTGCAAGCGTAGAATATCATTGTCGATACTATTGCCTAGAATGGACGATCGAAAGTCTCTCATGGCTGATCACTTGCGTTGACTGTGATGTAGGGTTAACTCCGAGATCACCGAGATCCCGAAGTCATCATGGAAGCATTCGGTCCCGACGGAGCATTCGGATAGGCAGTATGCGTAACACAAGACAAAAGTTCCGTCAGCACTGCCCAGTTGCCAGAGTCGATGATGGACATAAGAACTGACATGCATGAGAGTCGAT